GGATTGGTTGCTTCAGTGACACCAAAGGGATATTGGTAGAAGTTGATTAAGGATATTAACTTTTTGACGATATTGTCCAAACCCTTCATTTCCAATTCCGATATCATCCAATATCGAGTTTTCCAAGTTTTCATTATCGCAGGAAAAACCGCTATTGATACAGATATTACATAATTATGCTAATATCGGGCCAACAACATCGGTTGGCAGATATTAGCGGACATCCCTAAAGATGAACAAGTGAGTCATCAAACTCCCCGAACAACAGTACAAAAATCAACCAAGACTACAGACAACGTGAATCTGTGACAAAGACTCATGTGACATGGTGACAGTTCCGACAGTTCTTTCTGTGCGCTACCTGCCCTTTATTCTACTAGCGATGATGTTAGCGAGCGCTACATCTGGACCGAGGTGGAAGAGTGAGGCTGACTGCTGTGCTGCTGTATTTTCCCAGGGATCTGTGACTCACAGCATCATTAGCACAAACACACAGTTATTATGGGGCTGCAAAACGTCTTTCGCTGCCCCACCTTTTCCTCCCGTTTGCTTCGCTCGGGGAATCCAGTTAGCAACACCCTGGCACACGATTAAACAGAACGTGCTTTGGTTCTCATGAAGATGACACAACGTTGACTCAAAGACGGCACTTAACAAAGCCACGATAATGGATGACTCTCCTGCGGTCTGCGACGCTCCAGATGAGCGTAACGATGTTTTGTGAGTAACACATTCACGCAACATTCAACATCAGGCCCCGGTCCAGTGTGAGGCTAATGAGGGCGTGTCCTTAAACAAACCAAGTCATTGTATTTTTCTTGTAATTTCCCTTCTGTCTAAATTAGAGAGGTTTCCATTACGACGCAGCCTTAACTACGTGTGGTGGTTAATAAAACACGTACAATACTGCCATGACCTTTGACCTTTGCCAAAGTCAGACCCCTGAACCACATTGGCTGGCCCTCTCTACAGCTCCAACGAGAACATACCCAATCTCTTCAAAGGTAGGGTCCTAATGTCATCTATCATCAACTAGCAGCGAACATCCGGTCCGTGGTCGACGGGATTGGACCAATCGACAGGAGCGTTAAGAGTGTACAGAGCAAAGCGAGGGCGGGGGGGAACACAGTGGGGGGGGAGGCTGGAGGACAACAGCAGAGTTGTGTTGCAAGGGTTGATTGTGCGAGCTGTGGGGATGGTTTCTGGTGGATGTTGTGTTTGTGTTGGAGCGGGACGCTCCAGGCAGATGTTGCAAATGAAGGAGGTGGTGTTGTGTGTTCACACTGGAAGTGGAAAAAACATCGTCCCCAGAGGACGTCTGATTGGTGTTTGAAGAGAAAATGTTTCCAATGAGAGTGAAGGGAAAAATCCCATGTACTGCAGCGTTCACGTCCAGGCGTTTCTGACGTCGTTATCAGGGATTTTAAGAGCTCAAGACGTCACGTTATTCGGTTTGTTTACTCCGCCATATTGGCAAGAAAAGGCCGGCTAAAGATGAACGGTGCCGCTAGCGTTTTAAAGCCAAGGTCAAAGCACACCAACGGATATTAAACATTACATTTCAAACCTGGAGGCTAGGCTACATATTACAGACCCCTACCACGCCCCCTGGTGTTCTTTATGTCAGGGGTTCCCAAACCCCTGGTCCAGGGACAGGTGCTGGTCCGTGGGTCATTTGGTTCTGGGCCACAGTGGGAAACTTTCCTTCAGTTTTACTAATTGACTTCATTCAAAGATAGTCCAGTCATGTCCTTTGACTTTTTTCACTGAAAGATAATCTGGAAATGTTTCAAAACAAGTATCACCGGTCCACAGTAACGACTGATACCAGCCGATCGGTTCTGGACACAAAAAAAAAGGTCTGCTGCTCTATCTGAATAATGAAATGGTCGTATGAACTGATTATCATACCTGCGCTACCCTGACATTTTGACACTCGTACTTCTCAACATATCACAAGGAATAATCAAATATTTTCTTCTTGATACCCCATGTATTGGCATCACAGTTTTGTAAAACGTCGGAACAACGAGCACGGCAACAACCGTAGCCATTTGATGCTGTATCTACTCATGAGTCGTACTGTTAGAAATTTCACGACAATCTGTTCCTGCGTTTTCTCAAAAAGTCACTGGTCATACCATGAGACTACACACTGTAGTACAGCAGGTGGCAGTATGCGCCACCTAATAAACCAAGACGTCAGGTCCAAACGTAGCCTAAGTGACGTTCAGGTGTTCAAACAGAACGTGGGAAGAACTTGTTTCACAGAAACAACAGTAAAGAAAGGAACTCAGGAACCAGTTCATTTTATTTTGTTGTTTCATATGGTGTCAGTTAACCAGGTCAATCAGACCAGTTTGACTTTTAACCAGAGGAGATTAATGGTCATATGGTGATGAAATGTGCCTTTTTTTGTATTCCGTTATTTAAGATAAGAACTTTAGTTGATGACGTTCACAGACCACTTCAGTTGGTGATGCTATTTTGCAGAGTTCTTACAAATGAAGGATCATTGGATTTGGTCAAAATTTGAAAAAAAAAAACACATGATAAATCACGTCGTATCACGAGTTGACCGTATTGTTACATTGCTACTAATGACAGTTGACAAACGCTGAAAATTAAAAGACGTGTCACCCAGATTTGATGCATGTTTCATGTTTTTATCACCCGGCAGCTGTGCCCACTGGAGCCCCGGACCAACGCCACCCACCTTCCAACGTACACAAACACTGGCTCGACAAACACCACGTGACCTTTTACCTTTCTCTAAGCCACCTGCATACACAATGTGACACCTACAAACACACACAGATAAAGGTGAGGCTGTGGAGAGATATATGGCCTTGATAAGACTCTACGAATGTTTGATGACCGGGCTGTAAAAGACAGAGGGCCGCGGCCACAAGAGACTTCCTGGAAATGCAGACTGTGACGTAAAGGATTCATATTCACAAACAATTTTTACCCTCCGTATATACAGCATGGAACTATATCCACTTTTCTGCAGGGGGTGCTAGAATCAACATTTTAGTGCCCTGATTGTAAATTGAGTGCCCCTGTACAACATCATTACTTTTTGTAAATCCAGCCCATGCAGAACATATACAACAGGTGTGGGCAAACTATGGCCCGAGGGCCGGATGTGCCCGTTTTGCCTTTGAATCCGGCCCGCCAAACTTCTGTCCAAATCATATTATTAATTTATATCATCATTATACTTCTGCATTTTTCCTGCGATGCCTGCATGTCGCCAATAGATGGCGTAGAAAAATTGTAAAGCATTTTAGCCTTTATGCAAGGATTTTACATATCATTTATTTTAGTTCAGTCAGAATTGAGGCCTGCTGGTCAAAAAGTTGGTCTGATCAAAGACCAAAACTGAGGGTGGCGTCCCTTCAAGGCAACATCATCTAAAATTGTAATTGCAACTTCTTTCCCTGAATAACAATTAACCAAGGATGAAATTAATATCGACTGAACGTGAACAGTCAAGATACAGAAGTACAGTAGACTGAAGTGGTTTTAGACGCCGTCGACATTTGTCAAAATATTTTCCTGAAGATGAAGAAGTTCAATGGATGTTTGAAAACGTTTGTCAATTCAATGTCAATATTTCAAACGTGGACTCACAGACGTACATTCTCTTTCACGTGGTGTCAGGTCTAAGTTCCTCGCGATGTGGACGTAGGTCTATTAAAATGGATTTTTTTTACAGTAAAAATATTAATTTCCATTTGGCCCAATATGAGAAAGATTTAAAGTTTAATTAATTAACAATTTTTATGCACTTTATAACCTCCGTTATCTGCACAGTGTATCCGTCTAACTTTACTCTGTCCTTGTTTCGTTTCCTTATGTTTCTACTGACTTTCATTACAGACTCTTTTGTTTTGTTTGTTTACATTATGCCACACAGTGAATGACAGAGAGGAAAGTGCTGAATATTAAATCTGGACTCGTTTCAGGAAGTGAAACCACTTTTCTAAAACAGATATTTATATATTTATATTTTCATCTCCTCGGTGCTTTCGGATCATTTCTCGTTTTTTTGTTTTGTTTTGTTTTTGCCCCTGAGGAACAGTCTACAGGAACACGGATTGATGATATTTTAAGTTGTACAGTTGCGCAACAGTGAGAGCAGCTCGAGTCCGCCCTCCTTTGGCTCCCTGTGACTGGTCGGCTCCGGTGTCACTCAGACGGAGGGGGGCGCACCGCTAATTTCTATATGCCTCTCTGTCAAATTGGAGCTCAGATTGCCTTCTCATGTGCGACTGTCAGCAGCAGCAGCAGCAGCAGCAGCAACAGCAACAGCAACAGTCTCCGTCAGGGATTCCTGTGCGCATTTCCAGCAGATCAGAAGCTGGAAACGACCCTTTTTTTTTTTGCTCTGAACTGGATATTTCTGCCACTTTACGCATCCGAGGACTTGAGTCCGGTGGTGTTTTCCCGTCATAAATTAAAGTCTCATTGGAGAAAAGTCAACACTGAAGTTCACAGAAAGGCTGTACAACTTTGGAAAACCTCCAGGTTTGGAGTTCATACATGACAGGAGCGGATTCTCGGTTTTATTGTTGTTGTTATTTTATTTTATTTTTTGGGGGGAATCGCACGACTACTTTTGAACCATGTTAAGTTCCTCGCGATGTGGACGTAGGTCTATTAAAATGGATTTTTTTTACAGTAAAAATATTAATTTCCATTTGGCCCAATATGAGAAAGATTTAAAGTTTAATTAATTAACAATTTTTATGCACTTTATAACCTCATAATCTGTACAGTGTATCCGTCTAACTTTACTCTGTCCTTGTTTCGTTTCCTTATGTTTCTACTGACTTTCATTACAGACTCTTTTGTTTTGTTTGTTTACATTATGCCACACAGTGAATGACAGAGAGGAAAGTGCTGAATATTAAATCTGGACTCGTTTCAGGAAGTGAAACCACTTTTCTAAAACAGATATTTATATATTTATATTTTCATCTCCTCGGTGCTTTCGGATCATTTCTCGTTTTTTTGTTTTGTTTTGTTTTTGCCCCTGAGGAACAGTCTACAGGAACACGGATTGATGATATTTTAAGTTGTACAGTTGCGCAACAGTGAGAGCAGCTCGAGTCCGCCCTCCTTTGGCTCCCTGTGACTGGTCGGCTCCGGTGTCACTCAGACGGAGGGGGGCGCACCGCTAATTTCTATATGCCTCTCTGTCAAATTGGAGCTCAGATTGCCTTCTCATGTGCGACTGTCAGCAGCAGCAGCAGCAGCAGCAGCAACAGCAGCAACAGACTCCGTCAGGGATTCCTGTGCGCATTTTCAGCAGATCAGAAGCTGGAAACGACCTTTTTTTTTGCTCTGAACTGGATATTTCTGCCACTTTACGCATCCGAGGACTTGAGTCCGGTGGTGTTTTCCCGTCATAAATTAAAGTCTCATTGGAGAAAAGTCAACACTGAAGTTCACAGAAAGGCTGTACAACTTTGGAAAACCTCCAGGTTTGGAGTTCATACATGACAGGAGCGGATTCTCGGTTTTATTGTTGTTGTTATTTTATTTTATTTTTTGGGGGGAATCGTACGATTACTTTTGAACCATGTTCAGCAAGTGTCCTGTCCTCCTCCTCCTGAACGTCCTGTTTCTGGTCCGCGCTCTCTCCGCTCATGAGTGCACGCCGTGTCATCTGCGGACTTGTCCGCTGAAAGCCGCTCACGGCTGCGAAGGTGGTCGGACTCCGGTGAAGGATCCGTGCGGATGCTGCGACCAGTGCGCCCGCCTGGAGTGGGAGCCCTGCGGCGGACAGGACTGGACGCACGGCTACTGCGCCCTCGGGCTAACGTGTGCCTCCTTCAACAGCACCGAGGCTGCCACAATCCCGGAGATCGGAGTATGTAAAGGTGAGTGGAAGTCATTCAAAAAAATATTAATTTAGACATTCAGAAAATCACCGACACCGCAGAAACCGCCACCAGAGCACGATGCACGATAAACCGTGAATAGTGTCAATATTTGCCCACATAAAGTTAAATCACGATTTTCACCAGCACCCATTCATATTCTAGAGAAGGCAGTCAAACCAAACCACAGACAGTGGTTTAAAGTCTGGTGGTCTTCTTCTTCTTCTTCTTCTTCTTCTTCTTCTTCTCCTTCTCTCTCTCTCTCTCTCCCTCTGTCTCTCTGTCATCATTTCTTCACAGCTTCAGTTCAAAGGCCCAGCAGTGGTGCCAGGAGTGATCTGGCACCACGCTCACACTTCAGCTCCAGCAGGGACCTGGACTCTTGTTGCTTGTTGCAGCTCAGAGAGACATTTATGAGAAGGCGGTGAATTGGACAGAGACAAAATTGACTGGTGGAGTTTATGTGTGTGTGTGTGTGTCGGTAGGTCTGCGGTAACCAGTTGTGAGGAGCCACAACGCCACCTGTGGTAACCCACCTGGGACTACAATGTTAGAATAATACATTAGCTGCCGAAGATGTCACGTCTGCGTTTTTTCTCTCTCTCTTGTCACTGCCGGCAAAAAATAAATAAACAGAAAATAAAAATCCCCCCCCTCCGACTTTCATTCGCAATCCTGTGAACCCACAGTGTTCTAGTGTTCTGTTCCTGGCAAACGGACTTGGACCGCTCCGCTGTGGATTTGCTCACTTCATGCACAATTTGAGCAACTCTTGGAACTTCAAAGAGTGTCGGTTTACAACCAGTGAATGAAGTAGCCGCGGATAGTACTTTTTCCGTACCAACCAGTTCCCAGTGGGGGGCGCTCTGCTGCCCCTCCACCTGTAACTCTGTCTCGTCTGTTTGGGAATGATCGAAGGGGGCTGACAGGACTGAAGGAGAAAGTAAGCAGCTCTTATTTTACGTCTGGGTCGGGGGAGACCCCTGACCCTGACGGGTGGTCCAGGCCAGGCCACCACAACAAGATCTCTGGCCCCTGGCCATCCCAGGAGACGCTACTGCTCCTGATTGTGCCCCAGGTACCGGTTAGGCTGGCGTCTGGAGGACAACTCTGCAAATTAACAGCTTTGGACCAAGTGGGAGGCCTAATGGCTTCTCTGATTGAGTCGTGCCTCTGGTCCTGGGTCCTGAGGCGGGGCGGGATAGGCGGGGGGTCTTGAAACAAGCTGTTGACCCTAAATCAGGCACACGCAGCCTAGTTACCCCAGAGGGTGTAGGTGGGGTTAAATCAACACCTCACTGTGTGTTTTCAGAGACCACAGTAGGTCGGCTGCTGGACGCTGATCCCAGATTTCCCTCCTCGAGCTGCAAGAGTCTTAAAGTGATTAGACTCGCAATCAGGAGTAGTTGGTCAACGTTTCCGTTTTTCTGATCCCCGGCCTCTGTGGTCACAGTTTTTGGATTTTTCTGGGTGGTCACAATAAGTGACGTTTTGTATTTATCCACAGTCGCAGAAACAAACAAACGGATTTAGAAAGAACAGTTTCAACATTGTTGTTGTCACGTGAATGAGACACCTGCGTCTCCATTAAAAATCACCTTGAAAATTGCTGTGCGTGATACAGAATACAGGTTTCTTCCATCTTGCTAGTTCTGTCTAAGCTAAGCTAACAGGATTTATCTATGGGTTTCAAGCCAAGACCCAAACTTAAGTTGTCTAGTCAACCAAGAATTTCACAACCACTTCGCAGACCCCCTTATGGGTTGCAGACCACATGTTGAAGACATCTGCTTTTAATCTTGCTTTTTTAAGTGTCACTTATTCAATGGGTTATCAAATTCTACTTGCGTTTACCTAATTTCGGAAACTGAGTTCAGATCAAATTGAGAACTTTTCACCATCATTACACAGTTATCTCTGGGAAAGTACCGGTGCTGTTGAAACACAGTTGTTTTTAATCAAGACTCTGTTATTTAATCTGACAAATATTAAAACCTAATAAATTATTGAGCTATTCGATTACCGATGGTCTGTTATCTCCTTGAACATTATTGTCATTGATCCAGTAATCAGGCTGTCCTGGAGGTCAACTCGTTCTGTGTCCTCCGACACAGTCGCTCCAAAAACTCCAATTAACACCTAGCATACCACGTAACGCAGCGTCAGTCTAACAGGGACATGTAATCCTTCATATGCCTCCACTTCTCCTCCCCTCTGGTATTATCTAACATTTCAAAGACTTCCTTTTTAGCTCACTATCAGCCCGAGGGCCTCCAGAGGTCAGCTTACTCGTCCTGGCTCTGGATGCCAAGACAAGCAGTCGCAGAGACTGGGAGAGAAATCCCCCAGGAGGAAGACGTAGACCTTAGTCATGCCAGGCCAGATAATAGATAATCGAACAGGAACAAAGGTACGCAGGCGAGCAAAGTGGGTTCACCGAGACAAGGATTCCAGTGTCTGGACCGTCACTTTTCTTTGTGCTATATTTAGCATCCGACATCGACTAGCAACATCTCGAATGAAAAGAGCCTCCCAGGCACAGGAAAGCCTGTGGACGGAAAAATGTGGAGGTGAGGATCGTTTTAAGGTGAGAGAAAATCAGAGGGAAGGTTTCAGTGTGGCATTTTGAAAAGGCTGATTGTGCTGTGCCGGTTCTGCTGGTCATCTGGGAGAGCTATTAAAGAACACAGGCCGGCTCAGGCTGAAGGCAGCGTTACCTTGGCTTTTCTTTAGTACTTTTATTTTAACACTGGTGAGCCACACTCTGTCCACATCTTGGTTTCAAACTCGGGGGAAGTTTTTCTCATGCTTCCACATTGACCGTGATTCACCAAGAACACATTGATTTGGCAACATCCATTGGTGAAGGGGCTACATATTGTGGTTGAATTTTTTTTCCTCATCTGGCCGTTTCTGTCCAACTATGTAGGAGGATAAATATTCTTCAATTATCATTAAAAATACCCCAAATGTGTTCAGCTTGTCTGCTGTGCACTTTCTGCGACCACACTGGGAAGGCATTCGCAAAACTACGATTTTTTATAATGAAAACATCTATTTATACTTCCAGTGAAGCAGACACTAATAGAATAAAAGCAGTGGTGAAATGATCTATTGTTTCCATCTTTGTCAGTGAAAATAAAATAAATACAAAAACTCAATCATCTCTTACACAACCCATTATGTGGGCTCTTTTATCTTAAATCTTTATTGTACCTTTATTGTTCCACGGAATGACAGTCGAAACTAGCAGGGGCGTGGGGGGGGCGGTCCAGTGGATTAGCGAATGGGGTTTGTACCACATGGAGCATTTTCTTTATATCTTTACTATCACTAAGAAAGGATGAAGGCAACAACTATGAGAATAAAACAACTACAACCGGAGAAGCAGTTGGCCTTTGGGTGTTTTTTCAATACTGGATCTGGACCCAGTTGAAAAAAAACAAACAATTGGACACCCTCGGTTTAAACCAAGTAAAATGATTTTTTTTTCTCGTTATCTGTTTCAAATTAAAATGGATCAACAGATGTGTTTTATTACGATTTACAGCGTTGAATATTGAAGCCATGAAATTCTTTTCTTTCTGATCACTCTGGGGTCAACGCATTATTCTGTTTTTCGATCTCTTGCTGCGACAAAATGGGTTTCGCGCCTTACGAAGCTTCGTGTCTGATTGGGCGACTGCAGTCGTCAGGTAAATATAACCTACGGTGTTGATGTTTGTTTTGGCCACTTAAACCTTTTCCTCTGGTGCATTGTTCTGCTGTGTTGCTGTTTGGAGAAGAGCGGCGCCGTGTTATGATAAGCTACAATCATGCTTCCACACTGCTGGTTTGAGGCCTGGGAGCCGAATGCTCAGGACTCAGGGGGGAGTGGAGGGGGGGGAGTAACTCCGTGTCACGTTCTGTTTATTCTGCTACCATTCGTACGGCTTGGAAAACTCTGAATAAAGTGAGGGTCGGGGGCCCTTTGATCCCAGGGTTTTGCTGCAGCTCTGGTGCATTCCTCCCTATTATATAGCTTCATCTGAGTTGAGTAGTTTCTCCATGTGACATCCCCATAGTGGGGGGGGGACGGGGGGGGGGGGGTAGCGCCTCTTAAGCAAAGAAACAATATGTGGGTATGGTGCAACTTGGCCTTGGCCGGGTACAGAAGAGGTGTTCAAGAAGATGGAAGCTCTGGGGGGGCCCCACGCTGAGGAACGAAAGCAAACAAATGGATTCAATGGTGAAAGTAGCATGGCACGGGGGGGGGGGGGGGGGGGTCTAAGAGAAGAGCAACGGTTGTGTAAGGACAGGGTTTTGCAACAACAAGTGAAGATTTCGCAAATTCATCCAAAGCCTGTGGCACATCCTGCTTCAGCGTTACCTTCAATGTGTTCAGTGTGCAACAAAAATCAGATTTTCTGGACAGAAACGTCCGACCTGTCAGTTCATGTATTCCCTGTGTACTGAATATTTCCATCACTGTTGGTTGCAGTACTCCCTGACTACCCAGAGGCTGGCCTCGAAGACGAGCGCTGCCCCCTAGTAACGGGCTGTGACACAGCAGGAGGACAGTGCGTGTGTGACGCCCGTCACTCCTGTCTGGGCTCCTTCACTTACCCCGACCAAGAAACCTGTATGAAGTCATTCAAGTCAGGTGAGCCCCCTCCTCAACAACCCCCCCCCCACACACACACACACACTCATGCAGCTCAGAATCTGACTTAAGGGAAATAATACTGTCCATTGAGAAGAGCTAATCCACAGCAGATGTGTTTCGGAGGAAACTAATGCTACTTACAAATCATAGTGATGACACACCAGTTGGCTCGGTCTAGTGGTTTCCCATTTGACCTTGAGTGCTGACATTGTTCAGACTCATCGATGACTGTGGTTATGCTCTGTCCGTGGGTGTGTTTCAGAGGGTCGGAGGCACGAGCACAGGGAGAGACACAGAGAGAAGTATGTGGGACCGTCCAACCCGGCCTGCATGTTCTCGGGCTGTAACCTGACCACCGAGGGCTGTGTGTGCGAGTCTCAGAGCTGCCATCACCACTTTGCCTACATCAACCGCAGCCAGTGCCAGGAAGCCGCAGGTAACCTTCAGACGACCTGCAACTAAAACCTACTACCACACAGTAACCAAAGATGGGTCAACACAAACCAGGTCCACTGGTTTGTGTCCATCGCCATTAACACGATTCCTAACAAGACTGACGTCTGAGCTGCGATCTGTGGGACAGATTAGGACATTTTCCATCTAGCTACGATTTACCATTAAAAACATTATCCTTCAATGAGTAGAAGACACTTAGTCCAGTCCAGTCAACCTTAGGGTCACGATCCCAAGTAGGGTAGCCTGGAATTTAAAAGGGGTCGCCTGAACTGTCTAGTAACTGATGGAACTAATCTGTGGAACAAGTTCTTCCCACGTTCTGGTTCAACACCTGAATGCCACTTGGGCTACGTAGGAACTTGACATCTTGGTTTAATAGCGGGTCACAACCAATATTTTTAGGCACATACCACCACCTATTAGCGGGTCACAACCAATATTTTTAGGCGCATACCACCACCTATTGTACAAGAGCGTGTAGTGTCATGGTATGACCACTGATGTTATGAGATAACGCAGCCTACTCTTTTATTATTTTAAACTGAATTTTCACGCATTTTTACCGATTTACGATGCATCATTACGTTCCTAGTCAAAAGCCAAAAGACGTTGAGAACCACGGCTTTAGTCTGTCATCGGGTTTGCATTTTTAGTTTTAGTTCACATTCGTTGTCACTAACACTTACACTGAATTATTGTTGAGTGTGGGCTTATCAAGTGAAAATATTTGCCCTTGCCCTTCCGCCTGTTAGCACATGTGCACAGTGGTAAACGGATGGAAAGAGAGAGGAAGACAAACACACGAGGATACTTTGTTGTCGAGAAAAGAAAACACGAGGGAAGGATGTTGAGAATGAAAGAAGAGAAGGTGTGAATCTGACTAATGGACTATCAAAGAGAGAGAGAGAGAGGGAGAGAGAGAGAGTCTACTGTATGTGAAGTACTTGTTGAAAATGCTGATGGATAGATGAAGTGTTAAAGATCCCCCCGGGGCACTTGATACGGTCATAAGACGTGGGGTATTATTTTGCCCTTGTGGAAAAAAAAAAGTAAAATCTTTACATCAACAGAAGAATGTGTCATCACATTCGTCACATGGCCGGCTCGCTGGTTGACATTTCCGAATGAAAGATATAACCGGCTCAGTAAGTTTTGCTTCCGCATTTGGACGCTGAGGTATCTGGTAGATAGGCAGGCGTTAAGTGTCGACTGCCTGTTGGATGACATTCACTAAAGAGGGCAGCGTTGCCTCTGAGTGACCTCACTAAACTGCATGCATGTGTTAGACTGGTGGTGTCAAACTCACTGACACCGGGGGGCGTAGCGCGGGGGAGCAGGGGGGCACATCAGCAGTACAGTAATCCTTCTTCATTACCTTGTGTGATTAAAAAAACTTTCCAAGTAAATTACAAAATCAGAGAACAAACACATAGACCTCAGTTCAGAACTATACGAGTCAGGTTTTGGTTGAAGATCATAATTAATAATAATAATTAAAGTCCCACAATTGGGATGTGGCTCCTCTAGGGCTCGGACCCAGGACCTTCTGCTTGTAAGGCAGATGTGTAAGCCACTGTGGATGAGATGATGCTGTTTGTCCTTGAACACAGCGAGTAGCTCTATGTCCACAGATCGTTATCGTTATGAAATTAATTAGTGTAGTTGAAATTTAAGAGTCACTTTATTATAAGGGCCATATGGAATGACCTCATTCTGCCCGCGGGCCTTGAGTTTGACACGTGCATTAGAACTTTTTTGTACCAAGAACCGTTTGGCCGTTATCAGTCGTTACTGCAGACCAGTAATATCGTGCCGTCGTTGAAGGATCATTAAATTTTCAAAATAAAAAAACTCTTTCAGACTTTCTGGATTCTTTTGGAATGAAGTAAATTAGTAAAACTGAGGTACATTTTTTTCCACTGTGTAGCCTGGTACAGCCCCGGCAGCCTGAACTGAGGTACATCGGTTCCCCGAACCGGGGGTTGGAGACCCCTGCTCTAACCTACTGGTCATGCCTTTAACAGTAAAGAGACGTGTCCATAATTGTGTTATTCCCCTCTGTGATGAGAGTTTGTGAACTTTTCCCTTCAGCTGTAGTCGACCGTGTGCCTCTGAGACATACTTGACATTATTTAGTCTGGAGATAACACAGAGAACAGTTGGAGGACGGCCGTGTTGATGTTTGTCTAACCCAGTAGGTTTTCTCTCATTAGACATCGCACTGTTTGGACGAAACCACCACTCAAGTGTGGCTGAAAAGAGACGTGCGTTTGGTTTATTGTGTTTCGTAACTGCCTCTTCTCCAAATCAGAGTTCAGTGGATGACACTTCCAACTTCCACCAGTGAAATCTGTAAACAACATTTTTCAGCAGCCTATGAGTTCTCACCACAGCACACACACCCCCCAACCCTTCCTCACTGAGTACAAGACGGGGATATGTGTGTGTGTGTGTTTGTTATGTCTGTGATTCAGCAAGTGCCTGTGGAAGGATGGACACGTGTGTGTATACAGTACTGCGTATCATGGTGTTTGTGCAGTGGACGTGCCTGAGTCGGTATCTCTACATCTGTCTGCCATTGTTGTCTGGTTTCTCTTCAGTGTTTCTGCAAAACCTTTGTATTTGTGTGTTATCACTGCGAGTTTTCTTTACGACGTGCTGTGGAATCTGTGGTCACACTGATGTCAACAGTGTCATCTGTTATTGTTTTTGTCCCTCTGTGTTGGTGCAGATACAATGGGCCAGAGTTGAACGGACCGGCCTTGAAGTGACGACAGTGTGGTTTGATATAAAACTATTTTTGGTCTTATTTTTGTCCCAATGCCACACGTAGAAAGAAGGACAAAAAAAAATAAAAAATCGAGCATTCAAAATATGTCTCCTGTTTTTAACCAGCAGTCGGCGACATTTACGACAATATTTTCTGGTGCTTTGACCTCGCAAACCCATCGTTAATGCTATGCCCAGGCTAACTGCCTAAAGCATAGCATAACCATTGACCAGAATCTCCAACATTATTGTTTGATGTTTATTTTGGAATCCATTTGTGGGCCAGAATAGATGGTTCAGTGGGCCAGATCCGGTCCCACGAGCCTTCAGTTGATCATCAGTCTGTTCATGCTGTGGATGTAGTTGACTGGACGGAACCTAGTGCACTACTACTTTAGTACTGTAGGGCTCAGGTTCTGCTGATGTACGGAGCAACAATATGGATATATTTATACAAGAAATATAAAAAAAATGACAAATGTCTTTGGAAACCCAAGTCAAAACTATCGGTTATTTTTCTGGCGTGTATTACACATAACACACTACCCCTCACCTTAAGAACCCTGTTAAACCCACTCAGAACTTGGACTTTAGTCCTGACACTTGTGACTTTACAGATGCCTCTCCCTTTCGCTCTGACTCACCCAGTAAGTGGTCTTGTCAGCTCATACCCCCGTGACCGTGACTCACCGAGCTCTGGTAAAACTTAACATCTTTCATGCCTTGTTGCAGCTGGTCGATCGCTAAATTTCCCCTGTTGAAGTGTTGGTTCACTCGCTAAATTTCCCCTGTTGAAGTGTTGTAAAGTTCACGTCACGCCACTGACGTAACCGGGAGCGACAAACGACCAGACACGAGCGACACGGTGGGCCAGACGTATCGCCCACATGTCAGGAAGCTAAAGAGGATGTGATAAGTGAAAGAGAAGGAGGGAGAAGGCAGGAAATCACAACTGAGGCCAAACATTTTTGTTGTGGTTTTCGTGTCAAGTACTGGTCCCAGGGCCGTGGTAGGGTGGTGTTTGGTGGTTTTTAAGATCTGGGATAGCTGACATGTTTCATTTATGATAAGGCCCCTAACTGCTGTTTCTGAGGAATTCCAGCGTTGTTGCTCACTGACAGGAACAAGCAACTGCAGCCTTCACCGCAGAAGGAGACGGGGGTGGGAGTGGAGCACCCACTACAGTGTCGTAACACAAGCTAACTTGTTCCCAAAAATCAACTCTCCCACCTATGCCACCCTCTCTCTCTGCCTCAGTGTCTGTGCCAGACTGAAAAGGCCGTTAGTTCTGCCTCACTGCAGCCTCTTTGTGGCAGCTCCGGGTCAGACCATCGCTGGCTGGCAGTGGCGTGAGACGTCTTTGTGGCTTGTGCTTGTTCACTGTCTGCAGCGGCTGTGGCCCTCTGTTGTCTCCCGCAAGTCCCCTCGCTTCGTGTGACTCGTCGTTTCAAAGAGGATCAGGAATCTTGTGAGACCAGAAGGACCGAGAACTGCCCCTGAAATAATCTTGGAACGGCTGTCGACCGATTCACCACCCAAACCAACGTTAGAGTTTACAAGTGGGAAACGTTTCTCCATGTCCAGCTGTGCTCCAAAACCTCAGCACGTTGACCAAACCATGGGCTTTTCAAAACCAAATCAATGCTCTCGCTCTCTCTCTCTCTCCCTCATCTGGCTCTTCCACAATTTATTCAACAGCTGTCCACACCACAGCTCTTTCTCTGTGTGCCTTGTGCATTGGCCACAGATTTGGATTAATTAGGAACAGGTGAATATTGTATTGGAAATTTTTATTTCCAATACAATTTTTATTTTTTATTTTTTTATTATTACGCAACCCAGTCACTACATTTGATGTTACAGTACTCAATATTTGAGGGAATAACAAAGAAGCGTGTGATTGGTCTAATCTTATTGGCCATCACACGTCACGGAAAGGGTGTGTTACAGTGGAATGCACGCTCACATACACGTACATACACACCCACACCTACAAACGTATGTGCACAAATGTGCACCGACACGTGGAGGTCCTGATGACCTCACCCGAGCACGCGTACTTACAGCTGTAGCGGTGTTTCGTAGGACACTGAGATCACGTTTTTCAACTGCAAATATTTGGTCAAAGAGTCCAAGAAGCTGGGCGTACGGGCAGCTGAGGCGGGCGTGCTGGCTGCAGCGCGCCCACACCTTAGGCTTCCCACCACGGTGTGAAGTTCCTACAAAGGTCTTCCGACCTGGACTTCTCCCAGGTCCACTCAACAGTCCTCACATACGTACCCGCGCACGCTGATGCAAACGCGGAACAATGCTTACATTCTCAGCTGTAACTGCTGGTCGGCACCGGGCCAGACCCCCACAGCTTTACGTGAGAGACAGCCCTGATGTGTCCCTTTGCGGAGCAACTTTATAAAACCTGAGGACAGACTAGAAACCAACGGAGGGCAGCTGGACTGAGACAGCTTTGTTCTCCCCTGACTTGCTTCCAAAGTCAGTCTGTGAACAGAACACACATTGTGCGCTTTTTCCATGAGTAAACTCAGGCTGTCAACACAGCGTCCTCTGCCTGGCTGAGCCGCTCTGGTTCGAGGGAAGACTGTACTCCTTGTATCCAGGCATGAGGGGAAGAAAAAACCCATTTAGAAAAGAAGTGTTTTTCTTTCTTCAATGAGCTGCTCAGCTGCCAGAAATATGCATTGTTTACAAAAGAGACTATTCTGCGGTAATGAAGCAATTTCCTTATCCAGCCTCTTCCAGACCGGCGTCAGGTGTATGTGTGTCTAGTGAGCGGGGCGGGAGGGCGGGGGCACAGGTGGAGGAGAGAGGTCAAAGGTTTGCCATTCCTATCTTACACTTGCACAGGAGCACGTGTTGGCTAATGCGCAAAGACGGTTTATCAGCCCCGTCAGGCCTTTGGTGTTTGTGCGAGGCTGGAGTGCGGCCATCGTTGTGATATGAAGATTGGCTCTGCGGCTGCTGACTCACTAATTGCAGCCATTTCTGCTCCCAGATACAATCCAAACAGCGCGGGGATGAAAATGATTTGCTGCTGACGTCTTCTGCTGCTCCTTCAGTCTGTCTGTTACGATTACAAATGAGCAGACTAGAAAACTACTTTAATTAGAACTACGAGCGCTGGACCATGTCCACAGATGGATACAATTCTGTTCATTTGAATGACAATGGTGTGTCTGCCATCTGCCTTTCCCAGCACACTCTAACCCCGGCCATTATCACTAGTGAAAGACTAATAAGCCCTCTCTGGGACTCTGACAATAAACACAGAGCGTTCCCGGGTGTAGAGCGTTGTAATGGATGGTCCCGGGACGTTTTCTATGGCACATTTAAAGAGTAAGGTTTTCAAATGCAAAACAACTTTTGAAGCGAGCAACAGCAGATAGTCGGCCATTCAGACCTTCCAACTGAAGTTTATTTAATTCCAGTGTCAGAATTAGGCCAAGACCTGTTGAAATGTTCGGAGCTTCCCGCCCAAAATGTAGAACTGCATTTGCAGCCAATTTCTATGACATTATTTAGCTGTGAGGTTTATCAATGAGAGCTTTGTGGAGGTCCTCACTGTTCCAGGGTTTCTGGACTAAACAGGACATTACAGACACCTTATGTTCCCGTTCTGTATAAAAGTTCAACTTTTCCCTTCTCCTCAGTTTCATCTGTTAGAAGCGTTGGCTCCACCCACTCTGCCTGACAGCAGTCACAGTCACAGCCACTCTCTCTTGTGTTTATTCCAGGGGCCTGACGTACTAAACGTGCGCAGATTTCATCGTGAAAAAATCGCGGTTACTCAAAAATCCAGAAACTGTCGTAGGTTAGGCCTGATGTATCAAAGTGTCGTACGTCCTTTTTCTACGCTCACTTTCAAACGTCTCAAAATTGAAATGATCGTAGTAATGTGCGAGCCTCACGACAGCTCCAGAGCTAGTTTCCACGTGCGAGCCTCACGACAGCTCCAGAGCTGGTTTCCACGTTTCCACGTTTCTACAGCTGTATGCCTTTGGCGACACTTAGTGCTGATGCTGGGAAACTTCTAATAATGTGTCATCAGACACAAGTGTTGAAGAAATGTTACTAACAATTGCAGCGGTAGTGTTGTTAGAACATCTCGCAATAAGACGGGAGCGTGCATTTAGGGAACGCGAGGATTCAGTATAATATTTGTTTTCACTTCCTCATGATGAATTCACCTGCAGATCATGGGATTCACGGCCTCTTTAAATATATTTGCATACGTAGGTAGGGGCGTGGTGTGGTACTTCCGCATGTGCGCTCAACGCCACGTTGGGATTTCCAAACGAATACAAACATACTTAGGTTCCTGCGTAGGCACACTTTGATACATCGGAATTTTTCCGTACCTACGACAGTTTCTGGGTTTTTGTGTACGCCCTTTTTCACGATGAAATCTACGCACATTTAGTACATCAGGTCACAGGTCAGGTAAACATCAAATGTCTACTTAGTTGGAACGTTAGCCTAGCAACAACATTTTGTTCAGTTTTAATGAGTGACATCATATGGTGAAATGGAGAATGGAGAATTTTTTTTATCGTAGAATCTTAAGTCCAGACCCTAAACTACTCATAGGTCACTTTCACCATCTGTGGCAGAACCACCAGGGATCAACTTACAGGTCTTTGAATGTCATAGTTGGAGCAGCTCTGGTCTGGGAAGCACATCAACACAACTTAGCTTCTGGAAACAGAACCACACAGTGAAGTACTGTTACGCCACCCCAGCCTGTCTGATCATTTACTAAAAAAAAAACCCCAAATGTATGTAAAGACTGTATAGGATTCGGCATATTTAAACTGTACACCACACTGATGAGGGAGTCGCTTGTTGACACATTCCCTCGTTTAAATGTCAGTGATGATTTAAGAGGATGAAACAAAAACAAATACAAAAAAAAAAACATTCATTCTTGTCCTTAATGACAAGTCAGTGCTGTCCAACCACTTTTCCTTTCCGCAGTCTCACTGCTACGTACGAAATCCATATGGTTTATACGCTCAGCTGGGAAATGACTTAGTGATTGACACTTTTGGGAAAGTATTTTGCGTCTGCTTTCCAAAATACTTTGTCCTCTCGCTGAACAGTATACGTCAACGTAACGGTGACGCTGAGAACCAAAATAAACCAATTTGGGTAATCTAATCACTGTAAGGTAGCTGCTGTTCTCAAACAATGTCTGTACAGAGGGGCTCTCTACTTGTCATTTCCTGAACGGTGTCCAACATACACCCCCGGACCCCTTCTACCCATTTCTGGCGCCCCTGCACTTGAGCCTAAAAAGACGTATCAGAGCTATTATGTTAGCTCTGGCAAGTGAATAGACGAACACATGGCGGTATGTTAAGTGAAGGGGAGATTCCAAACTGCAAAGAAGAAAGACTGTGTTGAAAGTTGGCAAGTATTAATGAGCAGTTTTAGAGCATGAGGGATTATTTGGATTGTGGACTAGCCGACCAAGGCTGGGTGGGATTAGAGTCGCGTAGACAGCATAAACAGAGAGCCTTGTCAAGGCTCGAACGCTGCTCTCACTTCTCTGACAGGGTGCTGCAAAGTTGTCGCAGACTAAAGTTGGGGAACTGTTTACTGAACTGGAACTTGTCTGAACTTGGCATTAAGGTCCATCTTAAATGATCCCATCAGAATATAACCACAAATTATGATACTTCTTCTCATTATGATACCACTGTTGCCTTCAGGGGTCACCATCTTACCCTCTCTCCTGCCCTCTCTGCTTTTACTCCAACTATCTCCATACCTTCTTTTACAACAACTCCATCTGTAACCGTCCTTTGTCTGGTAAATTCACCATCCCTCCTCAACACGTCCATGTCCAGACCATCTCCAGTTCTCCTCTCTGACATCATCTCCAAACTGCCCCACCTTAACTGCCCATCTGATCTGCTCTTTTCTGATCCTGTCCATCCTGGTCATTCTCTCAGTGAAGATCTCAATAACTTCATTTCCTCCACCTCCAACTCAACCTTCTGTCTATTAAACAGAGACACTGTCTCTAAAAGTTTCTTCCCAAGGTTGAAAAACAATGCTCTAAACCAGGAGTGTCATTTGGGTTCAGGACCAGTACAATCATAGCTTAATTACCTATAAATAACAACAAGTCCATGTTTCCCTACTTTTGTTTTCCTGCGATTAAGTGCCAGTCATTCATCAAATGGTCCCAGATCGAACCCCCTACCGGACAGTTTTGGCCCACGAGCCATATGTTTGACAACCCCTGTTCTAAATCATACGTCATTGCAGGTCTCACTACTGTGTTATAAACCTGACCTTTCAAATGTCCTTCTCTGTTTCAGAGGAGCTGAGGTGTGCCCGGGTGACATGCCCTGCTGTGCAGGTGCCCTCCTGCCCCCATGGTTCAGTGCTAACCAAGAGTTACACGCCCCCTGCTGGCTGCTGTCCATCCATACATCCCCAGTGCACATGCGACTTCCACGCTTGCCCTAAGCCCCAGTGCCCCGGCGGGCAGAAAGCCGTGCGGCTCACTCGGGCCAGTGGTCAGCCGGGAGACTGCTGTGACGTCTTCGAGTGCCAAAAAGGTGAGTGATGTGCACAGTTTGGTACCATTGTGGTTACACTGAGGTTAGCAACAGCACAGTTGGTGTGGTGGATTAATCACATTAGAGTTGGTAATTATGTGCTACAGATCAAAGGATTTCTTTTTCTTTTTTTTTTGCCAAATCAAAACAGATGAAAATGATGATTGTGTTGTTGTTTGTATATTTTTGGTACAAAGGTTTGTTTTGAAAATAAAAGACACTCTGAGGGATTAGGTAACATATACTGTGAAAACACTATGGTCCAACATGGCCGCCTCTGTGAAGCACCCCAGTCATGATGTAGCGTCAATGCAAGTGATTTGTCGAATCACTATACAGTAAATTCCATTTTAAATAATTAAAAATAATTACCAGAAATATCTGTAACGCCCCCTCTACTGTTGCACCAACTTTTTCATGGGTGTAAATCTTGTGCCGTTCTATCTTTCCCTCTGCCAGACATTATTATCACAAACATTCTCTGTCCAGTATAGTCACTTGTTGCCTCTATAACTCATCTCCGCCTGTAGAACACAGCTAGTGCCTTCTAACTGTACTGTAAATCACATCTCACTACTCTCTTCTTAACCCTCCGTTTTGCTCTGACTACTGTCCGTCTATCATTTCCTCATGGACTGTTTTTCGCCCAAGGAAAAAGTCAACAAAATAGTTCTTTTAAAGCAGTAAGATGGATTATAGTCACAGTTAAAAAAAAAAAAAAATTGAAGCGAAGATAATGATCACACAGGGAGACTTCAGTCCTCTCTGGAGTTGCCCAGAGACAACTGAGGGAGCAGAGTGGTCTCTGGCGCTGAGCCATTTACTCTACACTCCCAACAAATATTTGCTGTATTACCAACAGAACAAATTCCCATTCTGGCTCCTCCACAGATATAAATGAGCGCTGTGTCCTGGAACTGATACGACTTTCAAACCCAGTGACCAGAAATGTGCTTATGATACAAATTTGCTGAGCAGGAGTTTGGTGTCAAAGGGTTCCTGTCTGGCGATGGATCCAAAGGAAAAGGTTCAACAGTTCATTGATGGGAATGCTTTTTATGTGCTCCAGTCTGCCAGTGGGAGAGTAATCGAGTCCGGCAGGCCAGCAGGGGCTGAATGGTGGCCGTGGGGGCCATGGGATCAGGGTTTTGATAACAAGTGTCTGCTGCTCTTTGCTCTTGGGACTTGATGTCTTTTGTGTTCTCCCACTCTCTGTTAGACCTGCATGACTGTGTTCCAGGTCAGAGAGCAGCGTAGACAAGGACAAGGACATACACTGGACATCCCCTGTCACTTTTCACGCTAATGCTAGCACAACAGGTCGTGCAGTTTAGTCGCGTGCGAACAGAGCCCTGTCAAGAGTCTCGCAATGGAATCGTACATGTATATCTATGGTCATTATGTTTTATCGTCACTTTTCCAGTCCTACAGAAACTGTAAAGTACTGTAGTAACAGTGCTTGGCCAACACACATATTGTGTACTGTAGTAACAGTGCTTGGCCAACAGGTCACACATATTTGCTTGCTTTGGAATAACATACTCTTTGTGACAGAACATATTCTAAATATGTGTACAACTTGGACCGATTTACTGATTTTACCGTTGACTTGGCTGTGGGCTCAGGTTTAGTCAAGGTCAGCGTGTGCAGTGACAGTGACGCCCAACACTGTGTTTTGGCCTCCATCACTGGCAGACTCTCTTTTCCGCTGGCTGGAGAGCAGCTGTATCTGGTTGGCAGAGTGAGTCTGGCAGCACTCTCCTGATTTGACGTCATCAGATGTTAGAGAAGATCTCGCTGGATGTTGTTCAGCTGTGGTTTGCAGTTTATCAACACAAGAACTGGCACATTATCTGGATACGTCCCCCGTTGTCAGCCTTGGGTGCAGAGTGGATTCGGGATTGCACATGTTCCTCATAGATCTACGGTGGTGTTAGGCAATGGGGCTGAGATCACCGCACTAATCGCTCTCCAGGAGCTCGGCTTGGGTTTGTCATGAACGCTGGTGTCAGTGACGTGGGCTAAACTGTCATCTCTGCACTGTCAACTGATGTTCTCAACTGATCCATTAATACAGTCAATGTGACTTTCATTTGTTCCATCATCGGTCTTTCACTGGCGACGTTTCATTACCCACTGCGGTGTTGGGTTTTTTTTGTTGACTGTTTACCACAACAAGCGCCAGTATGTCACACCATATTAAGTGATTTAGACAGCCTTCGGGTCAACGTTTTATGGTCCGTTCATTTCCAAATCAATTCCGTCCGTTTATTTCGGAGAAGACCGAACATCACAAAACAAGTGGAATTTCATCTCAGTGCCTCATGTTGTTAAAAGAAAGACTATTAAAAAACAAACACTGGGGGAAAAAAGAAAGCAAAGTCTCCTGTATCTTTCTATGGTTTTTGGGGGGATATTACTGTACAGAAGTCGCTGTGCGTTTCGACTTCTGTCAGCCCGGAGTGCTTATTGCATTTCCTTTGTTTGGTTTCGCCTCACGCAAAGTTGGGTGGCAGGGAAATTGAGTGAAAGAGGAAAAGCAACAGCGGATGGAAATGAAAGCAGACGAGGAGGGAATCAAGGACGAACAAATCCTCGCTCCTCTTGAACTCAGCGGGTCCACCTGCTTTGTGTTAGTGTGCCGGACTGGTTGACGGGAGCCGCGGGGTCAATGGTGCAGACACTTTGAGATGGCACTCACAGCTATGGTACACAGATGCCGCTGTAACCTTCACTCTAATTTATTGAAACCACTGGCTCCACATCTGCGTGATACGTTCACGGAGTAGTTCATGAGTCAAGAAACGTTCTTACATAACCGCACAAACCTCCCTGTTGTCAGGTGTTTGATGTGAAGTTACTGTGCGGTCAGTGCAGACACTAAAAATGTAGGGTAAGTCAAGTCACTGGGTTGCATCCTACTGTGAGGTGTAGTGTTACTACTGGATTGACCCGCTGTGATCTTCCTGTTTCACAGGCCACAAAACTATCACTTAGAAAAATGATTGATTGTGAACAAACTCCAGACAAATCAGTCCAACAACGAAATATCACATAAAAAGAAGAGCTAGCAAGGTTAACGCAATAATCAAATCATACGTTTTTAGCGTATTTTATAACATGGCCAGAATGATGCGTACTGTACTACTACAAAATACTTTTGCATTTTCTTCTTGACATTTTTCCTTGTTAATATTTTACATCATTTTAAACACATTTTTGTTAATGACTTGATCAATCTCGATTATCTATTATTAATCACAATGAATTACATCTTGGTTAAATATCATTGAACACAATTAGTCGTGATTAACTGTTTAATAGCTCAACTTCATTTATCGGTTTAAATCTTAATCGTTCAACAGCACTAATAAAAACAATAAAGTTAAATAATTATTTACTAACTTTCTCCATGTTATATATTTTTTCCCAGTATTATTTCTTGATTTATTGTGTTTTCCATAACATGACATCATAACACACATCACAGAGCAACAGCAACTTATCACATGGATGCTGGGTTTACGTAACTTAGACTTAAAAGTACTCGGTAAAGTAACTTTTGCTTCATCAACTCTTTCTGTCCCTGTCAGTTCTTTTCTGTTCCTATGTCCTGACAATGTAGCATACCCATCAGAGGGACATATACTTTGTTGCACATCACTTAACTCACATCTTTTCTTTTTATCCTTTACTACGTACAGTGCCTTCTAAAGACATTCATGCGATTATGAACTCCATACAACTTTCGTGTCGGCACCATTTGTTTCAGATACTCATTTCCACCATTGCGGAAACCGAAAGGATGTTTATGACTTTCTAATTAACTGTATACAGTCATGGATCAAGCTTGACATTTGTAATCACAGCCCTATGCGTTGCCCCCTCCCTCCCCCTGCACCCCTCACATGTGTTAACTCTTTCTTCAACAGCATACGAAAAAAGATCATTTACTATATCTAATTTGGTTTCCTTCTCCTTCTCCAAGTCTCTCCCAAGTGCGTCCACAACGAGAAGGAGTTCTCAGAGGGTGAGGTGTACCGCATGGACCCCTGCTGGCTGTGTCAGTGTCGAGGAGGAATCTCCTTCTGCTCCAAAGCCGAGTGTGCGGAGCTGGACTGTGAAAACTTCTACATTCCTGAGGGGGAGTGCTGCCCTGTCTGCATAGGTACATGTTTAAGAAAAGTTTACTCTGGCAAAAATTTTGAATACCACAAAAAATTGTTTTTGTGGTAAGTAAGTACAGGGCACGACTAACGAAGACAACCAATCAACATCAAGTCATACCAGCGTTCCCATTTGTTGACATACTGAGTGACCGGGTGATTTATTACAACAGGGCTGATGTCAGGGCATTGAAAACAGTTTGGGACGATATAACAAAGGCTTGATATTACTGGACTGTTTGGGGGAGACATGCTGACAGAACATGTGCTCAAACCCAGGTTGTGATATGTGCACCACGGGTTGTTAAAACCTTGGGTCGTAGGACATATGGCGACCACACCACAATCTACCAGAAGCCTGTGGACAGTAGCCAGATTTGGCCTCTGCTTGCGTGGCTACAGTCGATAGGTTGCATGAGCTGGACTCCAGAGGTGCTGGTGTTGGGTCGGTGTTGGAGGTACACCTGGAATGTGCAAGCATCTAGATGCTGTGGAATGCTTTCATCTTTTTCATATGGAAAGCTGCTCATACTTAGCGCCCAGCTCACCGCGGAGAACAAAGGCTGCAGCGCTTTAAATCTGGATTAAGAGAAACGCTGATGGTTATCTGCAGCTTCACCTTAAATTGGACTCATTCGTGTTTTCACATTTCTACGTTAGATTAGTGTTAGACACAGCTGCTTGTAACGATTAGGCCAAGACAAACAGCTGTCAGTGTTTTCACCCTCCTTTAATATGGAAGAAATCAAATAGTTTTGTCATTTTTGATTTCTTGGTTTATTGTTTGCATTTGTGGTATTTTCAACAAAGGGGCGGCTTTATAACAAATCAAAAGAAGAAAAATGTTTGTTCTTTTTTGTTAGAAAAGATGAACTGCAGATAAAAAAAGCTATGGCGGGACACAAAAAGGACTAAGTTCTACATCATCGTTGTATTTTACCTGTATTATTTGTAATTCTTTGTCAACTCCTCTTATCGGAGCATCACAGATGGTTTGTGTTCAGTTTTGGAGTCTGAAGTTCCCAAACTTTTTCTGTAGCATTTGTGATTAAGGCAAATGTCAAATCCTGCCATATTGACGGCTAGTTCTTAAAAAACTGAGAAAAAAAAATTGAACAAATAAGTATAACGTCCGATTAGGCAAATAACGTTGTAATTCTTTTGCCATACTCTCCCCATCTAAGCAGTCAATCTATGCCACTTAGGGGGGGCCTACCCCCAAATTCAAAAAAACAACTAGCCTAGCCTGTCCGAACAACTAAGCCCAACTTGACTTTGTGTGATTTCCGTAAACATGGACACTATCGTCACAGCAACGGCAATGCGTCGCGTCATGCTCGTGGCTAAAAGACGGTGTCAGGTTGATACTGGTAATGGCAGATACTCCAAGTTGTAGTATCGGTATCGGACATTAAAAAGTTGTAACAAGGCCACCCCTAATTTTAAGCAAAGATCTGTTTCAGCTAAAAAACAGCATTAAATCAGGGCACACAAGAACACAGCATCCGTTTACTCCCATTGGCTCACGTTCAATCGGCTGCACTGAACACATAAAAACAACAGCGAAAAAACCAAAACTGCTGAGGCCTGGTTCTAACCTCTGTTACTAATAAGTGGTGTAACAAAACAATTAGAGCTGTTTATAGAAAGTGGAAAAAGGCTGGTTTCTACAGCCTGTATCGGCCCTGATACGGCATTTCATGCTGAGCTGCATGCACAGACTTTATGGTTCAGAACGCTGACTGAAAGATCTGATATTTTCCTTTCGCCTTAGAGGCAGATTTATGGTATAAAATCCCCACCTGGCCTTTGACCTCAGGGGGGGGCCCAGCCAGAAACTCACATGGATGAGTTCAGTCTTTTGGCCTAGCTCTGAGTGGACACTATGGAGAGTGGGATGTCATCATCCAGGCCATCTTTCCAGTTATTACATCGCTCTCCTCGGACGACGGAGCAGGACACAAAACCTCCTCTGTGTGATTTCAACTTGTGCAACATGGTGTTGCAAAATCTGGGGTTTTCCAAACCTTGAATGTAAATAAATTATCTAATGCGACCAGGTCTCTGTATAGATGGAGGTGATAGGGCTCCCTCACGGAGTATCCGACTTCTCTTAGCTCTCTTCCCACTCCAGTTTCTCCGAAATCTGTTACAGTGAGGTAACAACGCATGTCATACATTGATCCGTTGCTTTGAATTTAAATTCCTAGCATGGTTGCGAAACCGCAAAATATGACATGTGGTATGGGCTGGCAATCGCTTCAAAGACTTTAATGCTCTCTCACTTTATTTGTTTAACCGCACTATGTGTGTCCCTCAGATGTGGAGCTGCTGTCCATGGACAGCACAAAGGCCAGCTGCTGGGTGAATAACAAGCTCCGGGCACATGAGGAGCAGTGGAAAGAGGATGACTGCACCTTCTGCCAGTGTGTGGACGGGGATCCACACTGCACGGCCATGGCCTGCAAACAGAGCTGTCAAAACCCTGTCAAGATCCCCGGAGAATGCTGCCCCTTCTGTGAAGGTAGAAAGAACCGTCTTCGAGATTTCAGGGCTTTTTCCTTTGTGTTTGTTTTGCCTGACATATGAACTGAATGATCAGAACTTTTACTGAAAACTATTAAACTTATTTCGCAACATTCTCAAAAACAACGGGACCAAGCCAAACATAGCTTTTCCAACTTTCTTTAAAGATTCGAGTAGATAAAAATAAGATAAGAAGTCCTTTAGAGAAGAAGATAAGAACTTTTTTTTTCGAAAATAAGATAAGAAGTCCTTTAGAGAAACTTTTTTTTTCACCGTTTTTCGGGAATTTCGCAGAGAAAAAAAAATGCTACACCTTAGCAAGAGCTGCAATAACAGGGTGCCCCACGGGAGGCGCCAATCTTTCGCAAATAATACTGGAAATAAGTACAAATGAGCTTTCGAGACATTTTTAAAAACTGGACCAACTTTTCTGAACAACTGTGTTGCTACACCTCATATTCATGCGACGCACACGTTAGACCACATACCATACGTTGGAGGCTGCGGCTTTGCTACAGAGGCCGTGTCGCCACAGGCTCATTAAAGTTGAGGCCATAGAGCATTCTTCAAGCTGCAGGGTTCTTTGTGTTTCTTTATTACCCCTGCCCACCAAAATGAGACCCACCTGTGTGTGAGAGTCCGGGCGTGCTTTTAACACAGGAGGCTCCATAATTGAAGTGGATCCTTTTTGCTGTGAGCATAATTAGTTACAGCTCGTTGGGCTGCTCCTCTCGCCCGGTGTGGCAAGAGTTATTACGGGAAGAGCTATTGTGCATTTACTGTATGAAAGAATGTGTGTGTGTGTGTCTGTGTGTGTGTGCGTGTAAATCCAGGATGTAATTCACTTGTGGAGTCTCATTAAAGCTGGCTCTGGTTCAAGGCAGTCATCAGTTCCGGAAAAGACCAAATTATAGTTTGCCTATTCCAAGCGCTACTGTAAAACATTAAGATATTAACTTATTGACAGAAGACACGTCCACACTGTAAGACGGAGACTGAGCATTATAATCCCCCCCGACAGCGTGACCCACCCAGGGGTAATTGCTCTTCATTTATTGGTAATTATTGTTTACCCCAGAATAATAGCAGAGTAAATAAGGGGGCTATTACAGTTGGCACAAGAGGCACAAATGAGGTAACACACCTGAGGGGGCGCTCACACACACACACATGAAAATAATCATAACAGTTTTCTCCTTGTTTATTGATTTGTCCTTCTCCAGAGCCTTCGTACGAGACAGTCAGCCCCTTGCTGTGTCCCCCTCTGGAGAACTGCTCCCTATCAGGGAACGAGTGTCCCTATGGCTTTGAACAAGACACAAACGGATGTCTCCTCTGTCAGTGTCTCGGCAGTAAGTTCACTTTCTCACACCGTACGTTTGCCGGACTTTAAGGGTTAAAGTTTTGGGTGTCTCGACTCACAGAAGTATGAACATATTTTCTATGGACGTGTCTCTTCTTGCTGTGGTCATACAACACCTGAGGGGGCGCTCACACACACACACATGAAAATAATCATAACAGTTTTCTCCTTGTTTATTGATTTGTCCTTCTCCAGAGCCTTCGTACGAGACAGTCAGCCCCTTGCTGTGTCCCCCTCTGGAGAACTGCTCCCTATCAGGGAACGAGTGTCCCTATGGCTTTGAACAAGACACAAACGGATGTCTCCTCTGTCAGTGTCTCGGCAGTAAGTTCACTTTCTCACACCGTACGTTTGCCGGACTTTAAGGGTTAAAGTTTTGGGTGTCTCGACTCACAGAAGTATGAACATATTTTCTATGGACGTGTCTCTTCTTGCTGTGGTCATACAACACACGACATTTACCTTTTTTTTTTTTCTGCGCATGCCGATGTCATAAATGTGCTCGGCAACTTGTCTTTGACAACAGCAGAGACATGTTTACAATCATCATCACTCACGAGCGTCCGCGGCTACAGGAATGTTCTTTTGAGCAGCACCATTGAAACTCATGCCTCTTCCTTTGATGGATTGCTGTGCCCGTGATCAGATGACCTCTCCCTCAACTCTTTCAGATGACTCCTGCCCCGAACTGGGAAAATACTGTTCCCTGCAATGCCCGATGGGATACGAGAGGGACGATTTTGGCTGTGAGGTGTGCGAGTGCAGCATCCCCACGCCGAGGTGCCGACCTCTGACCTGCAGTAAAACCTGCCCTTATGGATATGCGTAAGTGTTACCCTTGATCCTGAGGTTTCCTCTTGCTCATTATGGAGCTAAACACATTTGTCACTGATGTTTTCAGGCCACTTTAAAGACATGTACGGCTGTCAGTGATGTAACATGTAGAGCCGTTAAAATTTAAGTGTCCTTGAAAAGGATAGTTTTCTCACGACTTATTAGGAGTTAGAGGGAGATATCGAATATCACCAAAGGTTTTTAAAGGTACTGTATGCAACAATTCTTGCTAACTGGGTTCAAAACGTGATTATTTTCCGTGGAAATCAATTAATATTAAACAGGAAACAAATCTTTCTGTATCGAACAAAATGTCTTGAAACGGACACGGTTCTCACATTAGATAAAAGAAATATGAGCGATGATGAAATAAAGAGAAATAAAATGTAACTTTCTGCATCGTTAACACAGTCAGCTGAACAGAAAGTGAGCAGAGCGTTGACATCTCAGTTGTAACCAACTCCTGCTTTTCAGTAACCGACGTATCACTTTCCAAGTTTAAAAAACAAATCAACACAAACTATATTGATTAAAACAATAGACAGTTAAAGTTAAAGTTACATGCAGTTATCATTTAGCAGAAAACCTTAATATGCCTTTGAATAAGAATATAAAACCACATGACCACACTGTGGGACCAGTGCCTGTCTGGTCATGTTGAAAAGGAAGCACATCAGACTAGTGCTAGGACAGTTTGGCATCCCACTTCAAAGGAGCCCACCTTGGCGGTGTATCTGAGGTTTCTAAATCAGTGTCTGTTAGTGTTTGTATTAGAGCGAGGAGGTCTGTGAGGTCTTCACTGGCCACTCACCCTCCCCCACACCCCCCCCGCCCCCACCTCCGCATTATCTCCTATCCCATTTAACAGCATCAAACATCTGGACATCTGTTTACTAGGTACTACTCATGTTTCATTATTTGTCGTCTAAAAAAGTTTTGTTTCAAGTGCTCGATGTGTTTTTTTATAAAATATATTTCAACATGAGAGTCAAGAAAAGAGAGAAGAGGAGGGGAGGACAAACAGGAAGTGCTGGAGTTTATCCTTCATAAGTAGCGGTTTAAGTCAAGCTCCGGAAGTCTAAGATCCTCTAAGCGCTCGCCTGGCACACAATGCCGACCTGTCTTCTCACACCAGACTGCATGTAGTTACCAGGAAGAAACAAAGGATCGCTGTGTTTACACTGGTGCCACTAACGCTGTCCCTAGTGCCGTAATGTACATTTTCAAAACCAGAGGCTCAGGCCCTGTGAGTTGGGATTAACGTAAACCCAGCACATAATGAACCCTCTCTGGTTAGCCGCAGGTGGAGGAAGATCTCAGTGCGATTAAAGCGTGGACGAAGCTGTGTTTTGATCGGACCTTAATCTGTTTTTCCATCACTCCTACGCCGAAAAATCCTCCCTGTGTCCACACAAGTCACAAAACGATGTTCCCCCTCTTATCACGGCCGCGGCACAGTGGAAATTGTGCCGAACCAGCAGATCCACAACCCGGGGGTTGGAGGGGTTCCAATGACTCCCCGAACTCCTCTATCCCCCTGGAGCCCAGAGCTCTGCTTGGCATTCCACACATCATCTTTAAACAAAGCCCCGCTCTAAGGTCACAGCGCTCTGTGCCTCTGTATTTGTACAGTGAGGGTCTGGCTAACCCCTCACAGTGTTGTTTGAAAAGCTTTTATTGCTGCTTCAGCAGAGAGAGGTTCCTTTGCTAAGCCAAACATGTTCTGTCCCTGTCATGGGACAAAGCCCTGCCCTTGGGTTTTGAAAGATGCCCAGCTTTCAGTTACAGTATGCTGCCCTGGAAATGAAGATAAATGGAGTAATTATTGAGGCCAGACGAGGGTGCTGTGAAAATACGAACTCCTTTCCCATTGACTGGAACCAGGGGGATATTGGATAAAAAGGAGCATTCACTAAGGGCTGACTAAAACTATTAGGAATTTTACTTGTCATTTTTTAACGTTAATAATATGAAATAATTAAAAAGGTCAGTGGCTGAAGTTGTCAATTCAACATCATTTAATTGGAGGTTACATTTACCACTGTTGAAGTGAGATCCTTGTGGTTTGTCCAACCAACAAGAAGCAAATTGACGCAAACTGTACATACTGTAGAATACTACAGTGTAAACAGCTAGTAAACGACTAGCTACATCGATATTGATTTATATTTCTAAAAAAATTCCCTCATGGGCAAAATCAAATTATTTTTAATGTGGGGGGTTCGCATGTCGCAAGTGGCCCCCGGGCCAGGAGTTTGCCTTCTCCTGCTGTGAGCAGTTAAACATCAGAAAGGTCTGTGGTTCTATAATGTAGACAGCTATATGGCTTTGGAGTAACTTCAAGGGAATCACAGTAGGTGAGTTGCCCCCACCCCTGTATCATAAAGACCCCCGACTCCATGATGCAGGAATACAACTTCTGGAGATCTGGGAAATGGGCTCCAAGGTACAATATGTGTTTGTGAGACAGTGAGGGACGTAAAAATGACCGAGAGAAACGTTGAAGATTTCACTTTTGACGGCTGATGAACCTACAGTTGATTTATGTTGTAATGGGGAAGTAAATTCCTTGGACCTACAGAGAGTTTTTACTCCCAACAGTTCTTGTGGGATGTGGTGAAATTGTCACTGTAAAACTTATAGGGGACAGGCCATGGAAGACAATCCCTCCAAATCTCTTATGTTGTCTTTCTTTACGATCAACATGTTTACATGAGTTCTCTGACTGTATGTGTCCGCCAATGGCTTGTGGAGCAGCAAGGACAGTAACAGGTTGAATTGAGAGCATCTGAATTTTCTTTAGATTCTTCAGAGCTGGACAAACCACGAGGGTCTCACATGTTGCCCTATTTTTTTGGCCCCTTTCAAAAGCGGCAAATGCAAGGAGTGAAAATCAGGTCCAGATGTTGATCATGACCCCAGCATCTAAATCTCAGTTTCTGCAGATCAGGTCGACCCAAAGAACACACGTCTCAGAGACAAATCTTCAAAGGAATTTGAAACAGGAGTATTTCTAGGAGGACGGTTCTGTTTCTGTCTGTCTTTTATTGACTCAGCCTCGTGTATGGTATAAAATATGACCTTACGATTGTGCTTTTTTGCTGCAGGAGGAACAAGCACGGCTGCGAAATGTGCCGCTGTGTCAAGTGCCCTCCCTTCACCTGCGACAAGCACTGCATCAACGGCTACCAGCAGAACAAGAAGGGTTGCTCCGTCTGCATGTGCAAAGGTACGTTACTCTGTACAGCGCTGTACTAGATCAATATCATTTATTGCCTTGTTATACTTGAAGACATCAAAACAGTCTGCTGTACTAGTGAAAGACAACACTGTAAATAAATTTAGAAGTTGCTGACATTTGTTAGCTGGTATGCTTTTGATCCGAAGAAAGTCTGCCACAGATGCTGACCATATTTGACGCAAATATAGCGCTGCATATTTTTGGCTCAGATGTTTCGTAATTATATATTTGACTAGAAGGCTATGGATTTTTTGCTTGTTTGTTTTTTATAAGGACTTTTTTTCAATCAAATTCTTTTAGGTTAGGGCTACAGGTTGCACTACAACAACATAGGCATCAGTAGGCTAGGAATGTTGTACAGTTCAACAGAACACTGTATTACAATTAGTAAATTATTCACAGTTGACCGTAAATCAATGTGATTGATTGCAGTTGACATTAATCAACATTCCTGATTATAGTTTTCTGTATAAAACCAGAACAGAGAGATAATGAACTTCAGGTGGTTGTCTGTGTTTTACACCTGTTTTGATCGTAGCTAATCCAAATTATGGAAAAACGTCAAGGGAAATATGCAAAGGTTCGACTTGAAATTTGTCTTCATAGAGTTGTTGGATTTTAGCCATTACTGTGCAAGTGGCTGGTGGAACGTTTCGAGAGTTAATTTGGTTTAATGCAGGTTATCTGTTCAACATCCACTGAATCACTGGGCCCTAAAATTGAGGTCGTTCTTGTGTCAGTTGCGCTCTCGTCGGCTCCAACTTTTAATCTCTCTGCCGTTGTCAATCTTTTGTCTCTTCCCGCCCCTCTAAAGGTCAGAACACTTGATTACGTTTTCATTTATATCCAAGGTTCACTGAGGAATGCGCTGTGCTTATTGATGCCAGCTGTTGACCTTTCATCCACCAGCAGATCATAACAACACATTTTTAGATTACCGTAACACTCAGCAAACACGCTTCCTGCAGGATAAACCTTATCACGGTGCACAGCAGGTTACCACTCTAAAGGGCACGGCGCTGAGGGAGACGGAGGAGCTCTGTGAGCAGCGTGAATGTCTGCCAAGGCCGCAGCTTTGATTTCCTCTGACCTTTGACTACGCTGCTGTGCCGACTTTCCTGTCTGCTTTTTTCTTCTTTCTTTTTTTTTTTTTCTTGTTGGTTGTGTTTAGCCTTATCCACGACATATGTGTACAGCTCTAATTAGATTCCCGCAACCCAGAGGTTTAAAGCAAGTATGCCAAATGTCATATTTAAGCTAGGCCACATTTTATGTTGTGTGTTTGTTTTGCCATTTTAGCTGCATTATAAATATTCCGGGCACAAACAAACCCTTGGTTTTTAAATCTGTGGGGCGCTCTCCTCGACTCCATAAACAAATAAAAATACACTCGCCAATTGTACCTACTGCAAATAACCTGCTGTTTGGCTAATGTTGAAACCGCTCCATCGGTTTCCATGTAGCCTGTTATTTCTCAGGCGAGAAAACTTTTCAAAGAAAAAGTTTTTTTTTTAGAATGATAAACATAAACTATATGGAGCTGGTTTTATTATAGTAAATGGAACAGAGAAACAATAAATTGGCCTGAACTGCATTACTTGTGAAATCATCTTTAAACCATAACCAATAACCTCTGACCTCAGCCTTCAGATGAAACTTGACCTGGAGCGGCAGCACTGACCTTTAGGGTATAAATCTAAAATTGGATTGACCTGTTCCTCACGTCACACCTTATTTATTTGTTTTTATCTCCAGAGGGTAGCCCCATTCCAAGGACCACCCCCACGCTGCCCGTACCCAAGTACTGCCTCACCTCCAACGGTCACAGATATGAGGAAGATGAAGGATGGCATGACGGATGTCGTGACTGCTACTGTCACTCTGGACGGGAGATGTGTGTTCTTATTACCTGTCCTGTGCCCAACTGTCCTCAACCAGTGGTCAGGCCTGACCAGTGCTGTCCCACATGCGAAGGTGAGCTTCAACAATGTGTCTTAAATTCACTATATTTTGTATACGATGATGAAGGACAGAAGGCAAAAAGCTGCAGAAAAAGTTAGGGCCATTTGTTGCCTTTTTCATATTGCCGTCAATAAATATCCACTGTAACATGAACCCTAAAAGTCAACTTCATTTTGATTTATCTTCAACAATACTATATACAATACTAATACACGATTAATCATGATTAATCACAATTAATTGTATAATCAGGGTTAATGACGATTACTCACAATTATTAACAATTAATCACTGATCCCAAGAATGGAAATTGTGAATAAAGATACATAAAAGTATATCAAATGAATAATGGCAAAGTTTAAATAGTCATTAAAAAAAATCAATCACTATGTTTAAATAAAGCATCAAAGCAAGTTGAATCCAGTTTCTCTAAAAATGGAAGACACAGTCATCCTCCCAACTGACGTAGAGTATTTACAGAGGAGTGACTCAGCCGACTCCTCTAATATTTAGGAGGGAAAGAATTCCAACAACGTTTAGGAGCTACACAGTCGGGGGACTGGAACTGGATAACTCCTTACAGATGTTATAAACGCTGCTAGACCGGAAGATGTTTTCCAGTAAAGGATTGTCACAACACACAGCTTGGACACCACCCTTCACACCCCGAGGCTTCGACTTCAGTGGACTGTGGTCCACCACACGTCCACATCCAAGTCCCCGCTTGACCGCTCACTGTTCCAACATCGTCGTGGCTTTTTTTAATTATCCTCAAGTATTAAACGAATGAAGGTTTGGCTGTGGTTTCACAACAGAGTGTAAACAGTGTAGAACAGCACCAATCACACTTGTCTCTCTCCTTACCTCCCCCTCTCCCCTGCTTCTCCTCTTTCACTGCAGATGAGTCAGGCAGTGGTCAACCAGATGGGATGGACATGGTGGTGTGCAGAGCACCAGGGGGGGAGTTTTACGTGGAGGGGGAGACCTGGAACTTGGACGAGTGCACCAGCTGCACCTGCCGGGGGGGTCGCGTCCTGTGCGACACGGAGGTGTGTCCACCAGCTCTGTGTCAGACCCCCACCAGAAACAAGGACACCTGCTGCCACGTATGCCCAGGTAACGTGGCGTTTACGGGGCGGTGAAAAAAGATCAAAGTATGGCGGGGCTAACGAGGCTGCAGTTCATGAGCGAGCTATAAAATACATGAAGCGTTTTAAATGTGCTGTCAATATGTGGGTTTGATGGTTTTACACTTTGTCGGGCAGTTTTATGTCAGGCTCATAAAGAAACCAGCTACGACCGGTTGCGTTTACATAGTGATCCTGGAGGCAGGCAGGCCAGCAGCACACCAGGACTGCTGTCTCATACAACACAGGTTCATCTGACCCCCCCCACTCTCCCATCCCCCTTTACTGCAGAGCCAAGAATGTAACTAATCTCGCCAAATCTGTGCTTTTCCTATAGTTTTGGGAAGATATTCTGAAACAAATGTCAAAGCAAACATAAAGCACACGCCTGCTTTATTCCCAGCTGCACCCACACACACTTTGAAACAGCATCTACGCAGCATTCCCGAACATGAAGTCCACAAATCAGCAACGCATGACTGAGAGCGGCTCCTTGAGAACGCCGCTCCGTCTTATCGCTCTCGCATGTCCTGCACAAAAGCAGATTGTCAGAGGCCGGCCTTTGATATGTGTACGGGCCTGGTCACCAGGAATGTGGGAACAAGAGACATCAATCTGACAGGCCATATGATGCACGCCTACAGTAGAGCAGAACAGTGTTTACATGCTAACTCAGGCTTCAGTCATGGGAAAGCGATTGATCTCCAGGCCGCCGGGGCTGATGGGAGAGAGAATGAGATCGAGATAAGGAGCAGGGACTGAAGTGACATCTCTCATATGGAGTCACTTTTGTTTGTCTTTACACTAAATGGTCTGTTCTTAAATTACTATAAACTATGAAGGGATTAATGCTAAAGTTATCGACAAACATTTCCAAAAATCGCTATGGTTCTCAATTAAAGTTACATGTACCCCTGAGGGTAAGGCACTTTACAGCAATGATTCTTAACCATTGGCCCATGGTGTATATTTGGGCTGCCAGCGCCACCTAATGGGCTGCAAAAACATTCAGTTTTGCACCTGTAGGCTGCAAGGACAGCAGAACTGCGTAGGTTATCAGATAAAGACAGCAGAGATATGTCATCCACGAGAACCTCCATTGCAATGCAGTCTGTCACCACACGGTGTCTTTGACCAAACAGGTTTTTGAGATTTTTTTAATCGTACTACACTTTCGGAATCCCCGTACTACAGCACACCAGATGGACCACGCAGTCCATCTGTTAACAAAACTGGTGTCAAACACATCTTCATATCTACGTGTGCATCCACAGAGGAGAGCCCACTGCTACCTGTCAACAACAACGAGCAGGAGTACTGCATCACCAATGACGGAGACGTGCTACTGAACGGAGACTCCTGGAAGGCGAACGCCTGCACCAGCTGCACCTGCAACAACGGCACCATTCAGTGCTTCTCTCAGCACTGCCCAGCTGCCAACTGCAGGGTGCCCGTCTTACGCAAAGGCCAGTGCTGCCCATACTGTATTGGTGAGTATCTTGGTGCCTCGTGGCAAACTTGCCTGGAGGGTAGTTATATTTGTTCCATCAAAAAAAAAAACCAACATTAAAATTTCATTTCAGTAAATAAAGTGTAGAGATTTATGAGATATGATCTATCGGAGTGGAGCACAACTAGCGTTCTCCACGTCATAGCCGGGGCCAACGGAACAAGGCAGCATCTGTTGTTGGACTGAGTTATAATTCATAATGCAGCGTGTCAGAAACTGGGAGTCACTGAGAAAATGCCAGTTGCCGGACTGTGAATATATGTGTGTATGTTTGTTCATCAGACCTAGCCACTCTGGCGCTGCATTGGCAAACACAATAATTCGCAACAACATTCCATGTGACACACACACACACACACACACGTGTTCCACTCTGTCCAAAAACATTCCTCCAGCATCCGCACATTCACACACGTTTCCTGTGCCCGACTGAATCCGCCTCCGGCGCTCTCTGCACAGGAAGGAAAAAAGCTCCGTGTCAGCTTTTCCTAAAGAGGAAAACTCACTGAGGTTCTCCCATTGTTCACACTGATATGTAGCCATTTAGACAGCCTTTTGTTGTTGCCTTCTGCCCGGTGGAAAACAGCGCTAATGCACGAAGCCTTCACAAAAGTGGAGTTCGCACGCATACTGTCCCACTAATAATGGATGTCCACACTGTCCAAACAGATATGACAACGTTGGTGCCAGTGACGGTGTCCACCAGTGGTCGTGCTGCTACAGTGAAGAGTGCAGTGTTGACAACCACTGTGTCACCACTGCCGCCCATCATCGCAGATACAGGTAAATTCATTCATAAACTTCCGACAAGTGATGTGAGGATCATAGATATCCTTGGTACGATTATTGTCAGAGAATTTATCACGATTATTATAATTGAATTGATTTTACAACGCTAACATGTGTGTCACATCACATGAACGCTCCTTGTAGGCCTTAAAAGTTTCCTTCATTTCTATCGTTTGATGACTACAACTGTATGTTTTCTATTGATTATTTATTATTATTTATGTATTTTTGTATGTTTACTGTAGCTTGATGGTTGATTGACTGACTCAAATTGTAAGTCGGTTTGGATTAAAAAAAAAAGTCGGTTTGGATAAAAATCTACTAAATGTATTGTAATGTAACATAACAAAAACACAACAAAGTCAAGCTTCCAAAAAGTACAAGACAGACAATAATCCCATTTGTAGATAAACCAAAATCACCACCGCTCCGTAAATGATAAAACAGAAAATGCTACATTTGTACTATGCGTGAGAAAACAGATGTGAAGGACTATAATTACATTACTAATTATATGACCAAATATTTGTATTTGTATATTTAAGTATCTATTTATATTGGACCAATCACTGATCCACAGGGGTCTTGTTTAAATCACTCGTCATTAATTCCGAGTTATACCAGATGTTTAAGTTTATTTTAATCGCTTAATCGTTTGTCTAATTTTATGTGGCCACATATAAAACGTATCTATTATTCTGGTTCGTTTACTTTGTGTTTAAAGTACAATGACAAGCACAAATTAGTCATAAATGAAACGGACATTTTATAGTGCTGGAATCACGGGACCTACGTTTACTCACTGAGGGGACAAAGCTAAAGAAGCTAATGCTAAACGACTATACAGCGTTTTCTTGTATATTCTTGTAACTTCACACTGACACTGAAACCTTCCAACAAAAAAAATAAATAAATGTAACGTTAGGTGAACGCCGTTTAACTTGTGACGTAGCACTGAAACCCGAACCCGTTTCGTACTCGTAAACAATTAACGTCGAATGACACGCCAACATTTAATTTCATACCAATACAGTGTTACGTTAGGAAAACTTTGACGTCATTGATTCCAGTTAATGCACTTGTTTACCGTTACTTTGGCGAACAATGTCCGGTCGTTGTCCCGCAGGTGATGAAACGTGTTGGACGTATTTCCTCCTTTCACCGCATCTTTACGGCGTCCTTTAAATGCTGACAAGCCGTCATCCACGACGACATCGTGGTCGTTTTCTTCTGTGGCCAAAGTAATCCCACGTGGTTGATTTAATGCGTTGTTCGAGGGAATAACTGGTCTTCTGCCATATTTACCCACGCGGTCACACCTCCCTTTCGCACCTGGCAGGGACCGAAATGAAAGTAACACACGCGGGAACACGCGGGTGCTGTGTAACTTTGTTTTTTGTTCTGTTTGAGTTGCGCTAAACTATGGTTCCGAGATATTATTTTCTGATTACGGTATTAAGGAAACGTTACGGTACATTAACCGTGGCGCATTTAATTGTCATATCGAGTAATCGCGATCCCTACTACCAACCAATCACTGCTTCTGCAGTCAAACATACATCAAGAATATGTCTTTCTTCTGTCACCATGATAATAAGCAACATCTCTGTTTGGTTCACCTGACGTCATTGCCTTTCAGCCCCTGCACATCTTGAGTGACTTTTCACAAATGTCTTAATAATTGACAATAATTAAAGACAACTGCCGTTACATGATCTGTCTTGAGGCTCTCAGTATTAATTCATCATCACTGAGCACTCGGCTGGGATGGATTTCCAAATGCTAAAGTAAAGAAAAAAAATAGGGCATTTTTAAAAACCCAATTATTTTTATCAAAATTGCTACACTTTAAAAAAACACATAAAAATTATTATCTTTGTTTTTATAATGCACATGGAACTTATTTCATGAGGCATGATTTCAGGTGAAAGTCTTGAAATAATTAAGAAAACAAATTCTTGCAATATACAGTTTTTTGGTTTTTTTTCAATGACACCCTTTAACCCTAGGTGCAGTTTAAGAAAACAAATTCTTGCAATATACAGGTTTTTTTTTTCCAATTACACCTTTGAACCCTAGGTGCAGTGCAGTGTTTTTCAAGCCATGGCACATATTTTGTGCACCACCAAACAAAAATGTCGCAAAAGGTTAATATAATGAAATATAATCTAGTTAAGATCTAGTCTGAAATCTGATCCTGTTTAGTTGAACACAACACTGATGCACTCACAGGAATTGAAGAAAGACCAAGTTGAAGATTTTCCTCTGCTGCTGAGTCTCTTAGTTTTTAATAGCCCCCTCCTGCTGCCTAGTGGAAGAGAATTTAATTGCTGTGCCTGTCACTGTTGCATGGATGACGAAGGCTAATTATTAAGAGTAATTATTCGATCACAAGAGAGTTTTTTAAAGAACCATCCTCAGTGAACTTTTACTGTGGTTACTTAATCTCACAGATGAGCCAGGTTTGGGCGAGAACTATCCCAGCCACACAGAGATGACGCTCATCTACCAATCAGCTGCCTGGATCCTGGCTGGTCTGCTTCTGGCCATCATCATCTTCCTCATTGTAGCCTTGCTCATCAACAAGAAAAAGAAGTGGGTTCAGATGTCGTGCTACAGTGCACCAAAGAAGGTGAAAAACTATTTTTAAATCACATCATTCAACCTATGATGTCAAAGGTGTTAAATTATTCAGTCACATGACCGCAGGGCTGCCGTGAGAATAGTGTCAGGAATAAAGTCGTAGTTAGTTTGATAGAAGAGGTCATAATATCTTTCTGCTCCCCCCACCCCCAGACGGTAATCCTGAAAAAGCACGTAAACAAGAACTCGGTGGTCTACATGGAGCCGTCCAAGGAGAACAAATTCCAAAACGTGAAGAACGACTGTGGCATCATTCACTTCTCTCCCGACATGACCAACCCCTGCTTGGACAAGATGACCATCCCGAGGGCCAAGCTGAGCGCGGGCAACAACTGGACATCGTACTAGAGCACAGACGTCTGGGATTCTGCAGATCAGAGCTGAACAGAGCCCCGCCCCCCCATCCAATCTCCCTCACTGCTGTATCAAAGGTGATTCACGGACGTGTCCACGTCTCAGGCACCAAGCCCTGTGACCTCCCTCTTATCAGTTCCACAGTTCAACTGAGGATGCTCTTGTTGTGGGATGTGCTTTTTTATTTTAAACTGTGCCGAATTTTTTATATATATATATTTGGGGTCTTTGGAGTGGAGCGAAACTCCACCCAAACAGCCCAACTTTGAAGGTGGACGGACATCGTAACGGACACGGAGCCTCCATCGTCTGCTTTAAAACAGAGGAGGCAGCCAGTGAGACTTTGACTGTGAAACATAGTAACGTTGTTGCCTTTTTTTTTTCTGCCTTCGTAAAAAAAACTGGAACTTTTGAGGAGGGACTAAAAAAATCTTTAGGATAGAGGTTTGATCTGTAGGTTAATCAGGGAACATCGTACGAGTTCTACGGTGTTCCACGGATGTAATCATTATCAACAACAGGGAGGCCAAAGGAACTGATGTTCCAGGAGGAACAACCTGGGTACAGCATCCAAATGAAGTCAACAGGCTTTACACAGACTACAATGAAGTTGCTACATCCAAAATCCCTGCTTTACGATGTTTGCTTTTCCATTTTTTGTCTTTTTGTAAATTTCTATGAAATGTGTTTGTTCTAGTCCCAACGTTGTTCTTGGCCACCTCTCTTTTCTATCATGCTTGTCTCCATCTGGGCCAGATTGAGGCATTTGAAAAATCTAGCCCATCCAAACATTCCCCGGTCAGTTTGAGAAGAACATGTTTGTATTGTCCAACAACCAAAGTAATTCCATGCAGACAAGTCTACAAACAAAACCACAACAGTGCCATGAAGACTCTGAAACTCTGAAATACAATAACCATCAATCCCTGCATTTCCACTCTGCCCTGAAGGGACGCCGCTCTTCAAGATGGAACAAAAAAAAAAAACATCCCTTGTGCTTTATCTCGTCAGAAATCACAGGAATGTTTTATTCATTCATAAAGAATGTCGACTTTTTCTAACCACAGAGGAGACAAAAACAGTACCAGACGCCTCATGTGAACCTGCGAGGAATGACTGTCGTACCAAAACCTCACATCACACACATCTGGTCATGTGACCAATATCTCTTCAAATGCCTTCTTTCTATATTCCTGGTCCTTTACTCTGATGGTTTCCCCCTTTGCATTTTTCAGCTGTGTTAGTGCATATCCAAAAAGAAAAGTAATTTGTTCTGCCATTACAGGGGGTCCTCGACATACGCCAGAGTTCCGAAACTCACGTAATGTACATTATACTGATGTCGTTCGCCAACCTAACACAGTGGTAACATCATAATCCAGGACATAAAAACATCAGAAAAGTATGATTTATGCTTAGGAGCCATAATGAAGGACAAAAAGTAAAAAAAAAAAAAAACAACACAAATAGAATGTAGCACAATCGTACAACAAGCGAATGTAAACATGGGCGTCTTCCGCATATAACTTCACGTGACAACATATTTGTCTGCTCCAGTTTTAACACTGTACGTCGGAATACTGGAACAAGACTTTTTCAATAGATTTATGGGCGATAAATCCCATGAAAGCCGTAGGTCAAGGACGACAAAAACCGAGGACTTCCTGTAGTCAAATTTTTCTGGTAAATTACACAATCCGGGAACACAGCTGCTTCAGAGGAGCCTGTTTGTACCTGTTAATAACTCCACATCAGATACATAGCACTTTTTTTAGAGCCAGTTTTTTCTTTGTTTGTTTGTTTGTTTGTTTTTTCAGCACCCCACTGCAGGATTCTCAGAGGGATTTGATAGTCAAGTACAACACGGAAAACCACTCCAGAGAACGTGCGGTGGTAGCCTGAGGCTCCACTCCGATCTGATCACTACGCCAAGCATTACGAAGCGAGATAGCGTTTCGTAGAAGAAAAAAAAAACACTCGTTTGAATTACAATCCTCCATCCACCGCCAACTTCTCTGTACAAAGAACATTCTGATGCCAAAAGTCTGTGGAGACCAATTATTTGTGAAAATGTTTTGGTAGTTAAGTATATTTATCCGGTGAAACATGACCATGTGCTTTAAAATGAAGAGGTGACTAAAAGCTTACACATTTTCTTGTTCTTTTATGTGTAAAAAATGTAGTCTAAATTAGTAGGACTGAGGAGTTCCTTATTTATTTTTTCCACATAGCTTTATTTATTGATACTAAACTATAGTTTGAGAACTTTTTTTTTTTTTTTTTAAATGAACCTTTGGTAGCCCAAGCTGCTGTACATCGTAGACCATTTACCATTTGTATCTGCTATATTCAACTCAGCCTTATTTATTTCACCGTTGCCGACTTTGTAAATATGTTTCTTAGATGATGAACTGTAACATTTACACACTATTTTGGAAATAAATGTGTGAATCAGAGCTGCCTGTATTGATGGACCTCAATATAATCTGCACACGTTCATTTGGACCCCATTCATATCTATATATGAAAATATATTTATGTATCTATACATATATGTATACTGTATATGGCAACATATATATTTATATAAACATGTATATAATTATCTAAAGTTTATACAAATAGAAAATATATTATGAATATATGTATATATATTTATTTGAATGAATATATATATATATATGAAAATAGATATATAAAGATGTATTTTGTATATGTAAATATACATATGTATAGTATATATATTTAAACACCTAAATACATATTCTGTACATACATATTTACACCCAAATATATAAACATATCTACATACATACACACACGTACAGGAATATATGTATAGATATATATATCCACTTCTGCCAAAACAATTAACCGCATCAAGCCTTTTCCATATATACATATATATACACACACATATGTGGATATACATGTATAAATACATACTGTACATGTTCCTGTATATGTGTGTATAGGTATGTAGATATATATGTATATAAATATATGCATATATACACAAATATATATGCATACATAAATGATTATATGCAACTTAAGCGTGTACACTGGAGTTCTTCATATGTTGAAAACAGGATTCACCGTATCTGTTCTAATTCACTATTCACATTCCCTTAAATTCAAAGTTTTCTGTTGCTCCTCTTATCTCCAGCTCACCCACAGCAGGATTGTGTGTGGTGTTGCCATTTGTGTGGGGGGGGGGGGGGGGGGGCTCTAAGATCAGAGTACTAGCAAAGAACAACTAGTCCTTTAATTTATCCCATGGGTTAATAAAACACCGGAAAAGACCAAGACCTGCCGGTCTGAGCTGGAAACCTGGATAATCCTCAGTGCAGACTGTGCCGTTGTTTTGACTTGTCCACTGGAGCTGCCCAGAAACTGCAATAAAGCTTCTGTGGAAGGAATCGACAGAATGAGGTCACTTTCCCAGACTTCAATGATGCAAACAAATGATGGAATAATGTTGAATGTTGACTCAGGCAAATCTGGGGAATAATTCTGAGACGGAGAGACGGCTATTTTCTTGTAGAGAGAAGAAGAAAATCTGCAATTAACAAACGGGGAAAAAAAAAGTTCATTTATTACTACACTGAACCTTGATCACAGTAAGAAATGTGGAACTGTTGTATGTTTGACACATGGTCCTCAGAAAAAAAGCCCTTTTAATATTCTATAATTCTGTTAAGGCAAAGTCCAGTCTACCTATAGTCTATGCGAGACTAGAAGACTTTTGGTGAAGTTGAAGAGCTTGGTTCCAATATATATAAATGTATAAAACAGAGAAAAGTTTTTTTGGGGCTTATGATTATCCAAGTGGACAGGATACCAACGATCCAGTCTTCCAACAAACATTCTGTAGGTCCGAGGATGACAGCAGTCTGTGGAAGCCTAAAGAGCATCGGGCAGAGTTCGTAAAGAACAGCTCAGGTTTTCACAGCAGGATCTTGTAGTAGTCGTCCTTGTAGCTGTATAAGACCACCATGGCGAGCCTGCAAGAGAACAACATCTGTCATTCCAAAGATTCTAAAAAGTTTCTTAAAATGATTTTGTGTCTTCATGTGAGGAACGTCAGTCCTGATGAAACCCTGTTCACGCAAAGACATAGGCTGTGCCCAAAAGCGCCCCCTACGCCCTTAATAGTGTACTATATCAGAGGCACGCCATTTTATAGTAGGTTCCAAAAGTTTAGTGAGTAGAAGTAGTCCTCTATAGCGGGCACTCCAAGTATCCTACAATTCAACGCAAAATATGGCGTACAACCGATGGTCACTAGCTGAGCAATATATCCCATCATGCATTGCAGTTATGATGACATGGCAGTTTTATTTGTGTGACAGTAATGACGTAATTTACTGAAGTAGTTCCCGAAGACATTTTTCATTTCACCGATGAG